AAAGGTATGGGGTTTGATCCCCATACCACAAAGAAAAAAAAAAAAAAGCATTTGATAGGTACCACTTCAGTAAACCACACAATTCTAATTACCAGTGCAATTGTCATTAGAAGGTTTGGGAGAAAATGCATGTAGGTCAGCAACCAGCTGAACCCTGGGGCAAGAAGACAGGTATGTCCTAGTAAAGAGTGGCCTCAGCACACCATGGCATATGTATATTACACTGATTACACAGGACTGCCATATGCAGAAATTAATGTAGCAAGCTTTCTGGAAACATTCCTGTACCTGAAATACTTAAGTATATTCTATGAAAGAATAAATGTTCCTACAAGGAGTACATTCAAAATCTCAATCTAGTCTATGTTAATATGTCTACTTTTCACTGCCTTTCCATTCCCTGAAATGCCAATTTGGGACACTCATGTCCCAAATAGTGGCTGTAAGGTATATTTCAATGTTGAACTGCAACAGTATCTAGCACCTGTTATATACCTGGATTTGTTCTAGATTGGGATGAGGTCTGGGAAGTTTATCCAAATTGATGGGTTACCAACCTTTTCTTTAGGTAGACATGATTGATACATATGGAATAATTAGGAAAAGACAAAACAAGGAATTGAAAAGCAACTCATTAAATATAATCCAGTCCCGCGAATGTGTTACAGTCAGTGCAGCTGGAGAAGCAGAATGGTCAGTGTTGGCTACAATTCCTACATACCTTACTATGCTTCCAAAAACATTATGCACCCTCCCAACACCCTGATTTTCCAGACCCTGAGGGTTATGAGTCATCCACACAATCACTCTGTAGTCACAGAGTAAGACCAAGGTTGTCACTTGAGATACTGGTGACCTCTCTACACTTCACTCCAAAAGAAATAAAATTATACCCCTCCATGTTCAATCTCTCCTGGGCCTCATCCCTGGTCTCCAATAAAGAAATGAGAAAGGAAGAAGAACCCGAAACCATTCTTTCCCCCACCCATGAGTACCTCACTCCACTTGCAAACCAGCAGGATGATCTATATTCTTCTGACTAGAAGCCTGAAGACCACAGCAAATATGAAATAAAAGCAAAATTACTCAGATATGAAATATCCATGCATGATGTGAATTTTAAGATTTTTTTTTCTCTTTAGGATATTATATTCTTGCTTCAATTGGCCTAATGCCAGAAGGAAACCAGACACATGAGGCTGTTTAGTGTAAGTAACTGGTTTCCCTGCATTGAACTGATGTCTATAAGTAGGGAAACTAACAGGTGCAGGAATGGCCCCTGTGGTGTCCTGAGTGATAGCAGGCAAGCCATCTGAACCACAAGTACATTCACTCATTTAACACCACTTCTCTGCATCCGCACTTGGCCAACCTGAGATTTCCTTCCAATCACCTGAGCATACCTGGAGCCTCAGACTCCCATTTCCCACAAGCAAATGTCACAGGCTAGAGGTTCATACTCAGCAATGGTCCAAGAAAAAAACCTCATCAGCAACCTGTTTTACCTTGAGCTTTAGTCATCATCCAAAGACCGAAGGAAGCCAGCTGGAAACAAGGTTCAAAAATTATTGCTAGAAGTCTCAGCAAATATAAGAAAATAGAAATTATACCGTGCATACTATCTGATCACAATGCAGTAAAAGTAGAACTCAACAACAAAAGTAAGGACAAAAAACATGCAAACAGCTGGAAACTAAATAACTCATTACTTAATGAAGAATGGATCATCGATGAAATAAAAGACGAACTTAAAAAGTTCCTGGAAGTCAATGAAAATGAAAACACAACCTACCGGAACCTATGGGACACAGCTAAGGCAGTCCTGAGAAGAAAGTTTATAGCCATCAGTGCATATATTAAAAAGACTGAAAGATCCCAAATCAATGACCTAATGCTACATATCAAACTCCTAGAAAAACAAGAACAAGCAAATCCCAAAACAAATAGAAGGAGAGAAATAATAAAAATAAGAGCTGAAATCAATGAAATAGAAACCGAAACAACCATACAAAGAATTAATGAAACAAAAAGTTGGTTCTTTGAAAAAATAAACAAGATCGACAGATGCCTGGTAAACCTGACTAAAATGAGGAGAGAAAAAACCCAAATTAGTAGAATCAGGAATGCAAAAGGGGAGATAACAACAAACACCATGGAAATCCAGGAAATCATCAGAGACTACTTTGAGAACCTGTATTCAAATAAATTTGAAAATCTTAAAGAAATGGACAGATTTCTAGATACATATGATCATCCAAAACTGAACCAAGAGGAAATTAATCACCTGAATAGACCTATAACACAAAATGAAACTGAAGCAGCAATCAAGAATCTCCCCAAAAAGAAAAGTCCAGGACCTGATGGATTCTCTGCTGAATTCTATCAGACCTTTAAAGAAGAACTGATACCAACCCTCCTTAAACTGTTCCACGAAATACAAAGGGAAGGAAAACTGCCAAACACATTTTATGAAGCCAGTATTACACTTATCCCAAAACCAGGCAAAGACACCTCCAAAAAGGAGAACTATAGGCTAATCTTCTTAATGAACATTGATGCAAAAATCCTCAACAAAATAATGGCAAACGGAATTCAACAACACATCGAAAAGATCATTCACCACGACCAAGTAGGCTTCATCCCAGGGATGCAGGGGTGGTTCAACATACGAAAATCAATAAACGCAATAAACCACATTAACAGAAGCAAAGACAAAAACCACTTGATCATCTCAATAGATGCAGAAAAAGCCTTTGATAAGATCCAACACCATTTCATGATAAAAGCGCTACAAAAACTAGGAATAGAAGAAAAGTTCCTCAACATTATAAAAGCTATACATGACAAACTTACAGCCAGCAATATACCTAACGGAGAAAAACTGAAACCATTCCCTCTAAAATCCGGAACCAGACAAGGATGCCCACTGTCTCCACTCCTACTCAACATAGTACTGAAATTCCTAGCCAGAGCAATTAGGCAAGAAGAAGGAATAAAAGGAATACAAATAGGTAAAGAAACTGTCAAAATATCCCTATTTGCAGATGACATGATCCTATACCTTAAAGACCCAAAAAACTCTACTCAGAAGCTTCTAGACATCATCAATAGCTACAGCAAGGTAGCAGGATATAAAATCAACATAGAAAAATCATTAGCATTTCTATACACTAACAATGAGCAAACGGAAAAAGAATGTATGAAAACAATTCCATTTACAATAGCCTCAAAAAAAAATCAAATACCTAGGTGTAAACCTAACAAAAGATGTGAAAGACCTCTACAAGGACAACTATACACTTCTGAAGAAAAAGATTGAGGAAGACTATAGAAAGTGGAGAGATCTCCCATGCTCATGGATTGGTAGAATCAACATAGTAAAAATGTCTATACTCCCAAAAGTAATCTACATGTTTAATGCAATTCCCATCAAAATTCCAATGACATTCATTAAAGAGATTGAAAAATCTACTGTTAAATTTATATGGAAACACAAGAGGCCACGAATAGCCAAGGCAATACTCAGTCAAAAGCACAATGCAGTAGGTATCACAATACCTGACTTCAAACTATATTACAAAGCAATAACAATAAAAACAGCATGGTACTGGCACAAAAACAGACATGAAGACCAGTGGAACAGAATAGAGGATCCAGATATGAAGCCACACAACTATAAGCAACTTATCTTTGACAAAGGAGCTAAAAATATATGATGGAGAAATAGCAGCCTCTTCAACAAAAACTCCCGGGAAAACTGGTTAGCACTCTGCAAAAAACTGAAACTAGATCCATGTATATCACCCTATACCAAGATTAACTCAAAATGGATCAAGGATCTTAATATCAGACCACAAACTCTTAAGCTGATACAGGAAAGAGTAGGAAATACTCTGGAGTTAGTAGGTATAGGTAAGAACTTTCTCAATGAAACCCCAGCAGCACAGCAACTAAGAGATAGCATAGATAAATGGGACCTCATAAAGCTAAAAAGCTTCTGTTCATCAAAAGAAATGGTCTCTAAACTGAAGAGAACACCCACAGACTGGGAGAAAATATTTGCCAACTATACATCAGACAAAGGATTGATAACCAGAATATGTAGGGAACTTAAAAAACTAAATTCTCCCAAAACTAATGAACCAATAAAGAAATGGGCAAATGAACTAAACAGAACTTTCTCAAAAGAAGAAATTCAAATGGCCAGAAAACACATGAAAAAATGCTCACCATCTCTAGCAATAAAGGAAATGGAAATTAAAACCACGCTAAGATTCCACCTCACCCCTGTTAGAATAGCCATCATCAGCAACACCACCAACAACAGGTGCTGGCGAGGATGTGGGGAAAAAGGAACCCTCTTACACTGTTGGTGGGAATGTAGACTAGTACAACCACTCTGGAAAAAAATTTGGAGGCTACTTAAAAAGCTAGACATGGATCTACCATTTGATCCAGCAATACCACTCTTGGGGATATACCCAAAAGACTGTGACACAGGTTACTCCAGAGGCACCTGCACACCCATGTTTATTGCGGCACTATTCACAATAGCCAAGTTATGGAAACAGCCAAGATGCCCCACCACTGACGAATGCATTAAGAAAATATGGAAATTTATGCAGCCATGAAGAAGAACGAAATGTTATCATTCGCTGGTAAATGGAGGGAATTGGAGAACATCATTCTGAGTGAGGTTAGCCTGGCCCAAAAGACCAAAAATCGTATGTTCTCCCTCATATGTGGACATTAGATCAAGGGCAAACACAACAAGGGGATTGGACTATGAGCACATGATAAAAGCGAGAGCACACAAGGGAGGGGTGAGGATAGCTTGGTATTGAGGGGGTTGGGGGGAGAGGGAGGGGGTGGAGTGGGTGGTAAGGGAGGGGGTGGGGGCAGGGGGGAGAAATGAACCAAGCCTTGTATGCACATATGAATAATAAAATTTTAAAAAATTAAAAAATTAAAGAAAAAAAAAGAAAAAGTCAGTCAGTATGAAAAAAAAAATTATTGCTAGAAAGTGCTCCACTAGAACTTCAGGAACTCATGATAAGGGCTACCCAAGCAGATGGTATGACTGTAGCCAGGTATAACAGTGGCACATCATTGCATGTTTGATCACCAAGAAAGCAGGGGTGCTTTCCCCACGTGTCACTCACCAATGCAGGCGTGGACCCTCACTGACAGCTGTGTCCTCAGGATGATGCTATGTTTCTTGCCCCGCCTAAGGGAGAAAGGAGACAAAGCACAGGTGTCAGAGGAGTTAGCAAGGATACCCCCATCTAGCGCTCAACACCAGGGCTCTGGCATACCCACCTGAAATAGGTTCCTGATAAGCAGGGAACTACACTGAACAAGAATCTATCCTGCACTAATATGACAGACATCACAGACCTTCAAGGAAACCAAATAAGAAAGCTCGACTTTGTTGGATTGGCACATGCATTTCACTGCCAAGCACCATCAACTCGTTCCATCAAGAGTTTGCACGTAGTCATGCTTGACCATGTTGGGAAATTTTTAAGTCTGGGCCTGTGAAGTGAAATCCCCGGAATGTAACAACACAATCTGCTTCATCATTCCCATGGCTATTTTTATTTTATTTTATTTTTACATATATAGGAAAAACGACCACCAGGAAGAGCTGCTGTGCTGTGTATGAATTCAAGGGTGCTGTGGCTTATCTCTTACAGGAAAATGAAAGTCCAAATGCTTACTGTGGCATGTATGTCACTCCCCATCTTACCTTTCCCTCTCACTTCATTTCTCAGAAGGAAGAGAGAGAGTGGACCTCCCCGACTCCAGGCCCCACCCTACGTAAGGCCCAACTTCACACACAGAAGAACTAAAACACAGGAGCTAAATGGGAAAACAACACGAGTTCTGGTCTTGTGAAGGGCAGGGATGACAAGTGAGGCTTGGAGACACCAGAAGCCAGCAAGGACACAACAGAGCCAGCCAATGACCCAGTTGGCAGCAGGTGCATAGCAGGTCTTTTTCCGCCCACCCCCACCCCTGGGCTTCATTTGTAAAAGCCTGGCAGTGCCTTCCAGCTCCCTGGCTTGTGGCTGTGTTGGAAGGAAGGGAACATAGAACTCCAGAGCACTGTGGGTGTGGTAATTATGAAGTCATAGTAGTGTCTACATCAATTATACATTTTATTCTTGAGACAAAAAGGGCAGGCATGGTTTTAATTTTTTAATTATTCTTTCAAAGAAAGAAGAAAAACCAGTTCCATAGCTCTGGAGATATATGCAGTGGCCTCCAGCTCATGAGCTGCTTGTTGAAGAATCTGCTCTCAGACTCCCTTCAAATGGCACTGAACCCCTCCATCTTCCCTAATTTGCTTGATCGTTTCACATTTTCTATGTCTGAGCATTTGTTTCAAGAAGCTTAAAAAGCCAGGCATGGTGGTGCATCACCATCATTGCAGCCCCTTGGTAGGCAGAGGCAGGAACATTGTGAGTTCAAAACCAACCAGTCAAAGATAGTGAGAGTCTGTCTCAAAAAGAAAATACAGCTGGGAGAGTGGCTCAAGAGGTAGAGCGCCTGCCTAGCAAGCGCAAGTCCCTGAGTTCAAGCCCCAGTACTACCTCCCCCCAAAAAAACCCAAAAAAGAAAATACAAACAAAAGGGGTGAGGCTGTGGCTCAAGTGAAAGAGTGCTCATCTAGTAAGCTTGAGGCCCTGAGTTTAATCCCTAATACTGAAAAAACAAAACAAAACAAAAAAAAAGGAAGGAAGCTTATGACAAATACACGAACACCTGACCCAATTGCAGAAGACAAGTTTGAGACTTCTAGCAACAGATTTCTGCAAAAATTTATGCTACACACACATACAAAATCTCTCTCTTGAAAACTCTGACCCTCTTCCAACTCTTAAGATCATACAATGAAAAAACTTTCAATAAGTGTGTTGAAGCAAATTATAAAACTCCCTTTTGTTGGACCTGGCAAGCATGGAAGGTGCTCTAGGATGGTCAACAGCCATCAGGTATGTGATCTCACTTGGAATGCTGGGAGCCAAAAAGCAGTGAGCCTGACACTGGCCAGTCAATTAGAAATGGTAAATTCTGTTCTTCCAATCAGCAGCAGTTATAAGTCTGCAGGGCATGTCAAGTGAATGGTAGATGAAGTATGCGTTATGAATACCCAGAGAAGAAAGCATAAGATGGCCAGGGAAAATATTTCTGAACACCCCAAGTTCTGGAGGATTTCAGAAGGGGTTCACTGATCCCCATGACTTGGACCCTCAAAGAAATACAAGGCTGCATTCTTAGTAAGTGCTAGTCCCCCACCCCCACCAGAATTCTCCAGTCCTGCTGTAGGCTTCTAGGGCAGTCGTGCTGAAATTCAGGCTCCTGAGTAAAATAAAAACTGGTATTCCTGGCTGGGTGCATGGCTCAGGTGATAGAACACCTGACTGGCAAGCACGAGGCCCTGAGTTCAAATCCTAGTACAAAAAATGGTGTTCCTGTAGAAGGAATACCTTATATTTTCTAATTAGTTGATGGAGAATACTGAAGAAAGTTTTACTTTTATGCATTTCTCTTACAAATGTCCATCCTACTGCCATTATTCATTCAAAAAGTCTTTTTGCTAATTATTTTAGCTCCTTTTGGGAAAATAATCATATTACCTGTCTACAAACAATCCATATCTTTCAGTAAATACGCCCCCCTTTCTTCTGATTTGTGGCTATGACTTTCAGAGGATAATTAATATAAATAATCATAGGTGTACTTCCCTTCTGCAATGGGACACCATGTCAGTGTGGGGTCAGGGAGTGATGACAACAGTTGTTGACATTCTTGGAATGCTATGTATAGATGAGGTTCTAAGTACTTTATACAGATGTAGTTCTTCACAAAATTCCTGCAATAGATAACATTGTGGCCATCTTAAAGAAAATTGAGCAACATAGAAGAAGTCACACTGCTTAAAAGTGGCAAAGCTTGGACTCAACACAGGCAATTTGATCCCAGATCCTGTGCATCTGTCTCCTTCCTATACCTTCCTCCCAGATAGATTTTCACGCCTTCATTCCCTCAGCCCACACAATTACTGGTGCTGACTATGGCCAGACTCTGTGGGGAAGGGGCAAAGTACACGCTGCTTAAGACAGCAACACAGAAATCCACCTTCCTTTTCAGCTCACTGGCCTACCCTGAAGATTTCACACTCAAGACAGCACCACTGGTTCTTACCTGCAGGCCCACCCCACCAATTTCAGATTTGCCCCACTCCACAACTGCATGAACCAGTGCCTTAAAAAGAAACCTCTCTAAATCAATAGATTAGATAACAGATGGGGATGGATGGATGGATAGATAGATAGACAGACAGACACAGACAAACAGATACCCTGTCAGTTCTTTTTCCCTAGAGAACCCCCTAACTAATACAAACTTTGGTGTGTGCTTTCAGGGAGTTTCCACATTCCAAAAACAAAGTAAGTGGGAAGCAGTCACTGGGCACTCACTGTGAGCATGTTTGTGGTCCTTGCTCCCTGTGACCAGTGTGCTGGAGCATTTGATATCTGCCATACCCACCAAGCCACCACTCTACAGTGGAATCAAATGGGAATGCGCCTGTGCCAGAACCCAGGGTCACAGAGGCACAAGTGGTTCAGTGGAACCCGAAAGTCCACAAGGACAATTGGATTCCTTTCTTATCAGTCCAGTCAATGCCAACAACTATCACCAGCTCCCACGTCCAACCACCCTTCCGAATGGGAAGATGGCCACTCTCCATCTGTGAGCCACACCCAAGGTCATTGCTACATCAGTGATGAGGGGACTATCTAAAACAGCTGTGTCAAGGAGCTACCAAGTAAGGCACAAATGCCAGGAACGTGTTGCTGCTACCTCCAAGCTTCCCACAACTTTCCAGCCTCTCAGAAAACACAAGTTCTCCCACATTAAGACCTACGGCCTTGGGGGAACAGCTGACTGAAGCAAAGAATGCTCACAGAAACTGGTGTGCTTCCATTCTGTCCCTGTCTCTCAAGAGAACATTTTCACCACAACATCATATAAAGGCCTTGTGATAAAAGCATTTTGAGTGGCACAGAATCAAGGTCTTGATCGTTGCTGTAGCAACCAAAAGTGGAATTGATGCCCCCCAAATATTTCTCTATCCCATTCAATCAAGGGTACAAATACATAAAAGAGAGCAAGGCCCTCTCTTCGCAGGTTTCCAGAGCTTTGGGATTCACCCAGCACTCCGCCTCAGGGATAAAGAGATGAAGGAGGATTTGAACCAGTCATCAGCTGGTAAAAGGCTAGCACTAGCTAAGATTAATTCACTCAGAAGCTCAAAGTCCAAACAAGAGAACCAGCTGTCATTGTGTTAATCTCTAGACATATTCTGGTCTCCCTGGTAGACAGTAGAGCTGAAAACCAGAGCCTGAAGCCAACTGCATAATCTTCCACACTACTTGGGACCTCAGCTCTCTGTCTGTGAAACACGATGATAATAGTAATGTCTAGTTCTCCTGAGGGTGTAAGGATTCAACCAGCTAATATAAGGAACTTGCTTTGTGCCAAAGGCTAGAGACAATGCTAGACAGTATTCTTGTCAAAATGGTACTGTGTGTCGTTCTTCAACCACTTCCTCTCCCCCTTTCCATTTCTGCCTTAGTGTCTGCCTATCCTCTTACCTTCGATATGGCTCACTTCCTTTTGGTCTGCCTTTTCTCACTCCCCCTGCATCCTTCCTTTCCTCCCCCTCCTTTTGCTCTCTCCCCCTTTACTGTCCATTCCAGAATCGATAGCAATGATCTATGTGTTGTTACTTGGTACTCTTTCCTGTTCCTCAATTCATATTCAAGGGATTTAACAGTTGAACTTTTCCAAGGGACTCTGATGTTCATCCCCGTATGTGACCTCTGGTACACTGAACTCTGATGACCGAGTCACCCACTTTACTTGCAATGCATGAGAAATCTTGACCTGAGATACATAGGGAATTTGTTTGAAAGTGCCCCATAGGACATGTCCTGTGACCAAAGCATGAAGCCTGTGTGCTTGAGCAGAGGGGACGCTCTGATCAGCAGCTCCTGGATGTCTGCTCAGAGGCCACTAGCGTGTCCTGGTTCTCTCTTCACTGTCCTCTCCTGGAACCCAACCCAACCTGTCACCAGCTCAGCATCTCTCTTCCATGGTCACTCCTTGACATCCTTTTAAGATCCAATAATGTATAATTTAGGTATAACATTTACC